TACCAGATTTTCAAAGAACATTTAATACCAATACTCTTCAAATTGTTCCACACAATAGAAACGGGCAGAACATTACCAAACTCCTTTTATGAGGCTATAGTTACTCTGATTCCCAAGCTACACAAATATTCAACAAAGAAAGAGAGGTACAGATCCATCTCCCTCATGAACATTGATGTAAAAATACTCAATAAAATATTGGCAAACCGAATCCAAGAACACATAAAAAAATTATCTACCATAATGAAGTAGGCTTCATCTCAGAGATGCAAAGACGGTTCAACACATGAAAATCTATCAATGTAATACACCATATAAAAAAAACTGAAAGAAAAAAAACACATGATCATGTCATTAGATGCTGAAAAGGCCTTTGTCAAAATCCAACACCCCTTCATGGTAAAGGTCTTGGAGAGATCAGTAATACAAGGAACATACATAAACATAATAAAGGCAATTTGCAGCAAGCCAACAGCCAACATCAAATTAAATGAAGAGAAACTCAAAGCGATTTCACTAAAATGAGAACAAGACAAGGCTGTCTACTCTCTCAGTATTATTCAATATAGCACTTGAAATTCTAGCCAGAGCAATAAGACAAAAAAAGAGATCAAAGGAATACAAATTGGAAAGGAAGAAGTCAAACTTTCACTATTTGTGGATGATATGATAGTATACATAAGTGACCCCAAAAATTCTACCAGGGAACTTCTATAGCTGATAAACACTTCCATTAATGTGGAAGGATACAAGATTAACTCAATAAAAATTTAGCTCTCCTACATACAAATGATAAATGGGCTGAAAAAGAAATCAGAGAAATATCACCTTTTACCATAGTCACAAATAATATAAAATACCTTGGGGTAACTCTAACTAAGCAAGTGAAAGAACTGTATCACAAATACTTCAAGTCTTTGAAGAAAGAAACTGAAGGAGTAATCAGAAAATGGAAAGATCTCCCACTCTCATTGATAGGTAGGATTAACATAGTTAAAATGACAGTCTTACCAAAAGCAATCTACTGATTAAATGCAGTCTCCATCAAAATCCCAACACGATTTTTCCCATACCTGGAAAGAACAATACTCAACTTCATATGGAAAAAACAAAAACCCAAGATAGATAAAAAAAAAAAAACCTGTACAATAAAGCAACCTCTGGAGGCATCACCATCCCTGATCTCAAGCTCTACTATAGATCTATAGTAATAAAAACAGCTTTGTACTGGCATAAAAAACGATATGTGGACCAACAGAATCAAATTGAAGACCTGACATTAATCCACATGCCTATGAACATCTGATTTTTGACAAAGAAGCTAAACTGTACAATGTGGACTGTATTTATGGTTTAAGGTTTTACTTTGATGCTAAAGGATCTTCAATTAAATCTTCAACTCAAAATTTTAAGGCTCAGATTGATAGGGATAAAACTGTAAAATTCTAATCTTATACAAACTATGAACTTGGTATAAAATGTAGAAGATAATTAAGACACGCAAGTTAATGGTCAGTTGTAGTTAGATAGGTCCATAGGGTCAAGGAGATTGGCTCAGACCAGTAGCCAAGGTATGCACATAATATACTTCCTTAAAAGCCAACCTGGAGACTGCCTGAGGGCCTAGCAACAGGAGCTATAAGAGTTCCTGGTCACTGTCAGAGGTCCTGGTTACTGTCAGAGTTCCTGATCATGCAGTGTGCCTGAGAACCTAGCAATAGTCCCTGTCTAAGTTCCTGATTATGCCCAGCCAATGAGGGATGACCACACAGACTAGGCACTGGGAGGAGGGTATATAAGGGCTTCCCTGTTATTGAATAAGGGAGTTCGTTATTTGCCTTCAATGGACTCTTGGTGTCTGTGCCAATGATGCTGTGCCTTCTCACCCCCTCCCACAAGGGAGCCATTAGAATCTAAGCAACAGTCAGTTACTTTATAATGATCAAACTTTTACTGTGCTCCGAACTGTGGTTTTGGTAATGCTGAGTATAAATAAATGTAAATCATTTACAGAGGGGCAAGCCATAGCCTTATGTACATGCCATCAAGGATAAGCATGAAGCAAGTAACTGAAAATAAGTAAAGTTTGTTTAAAATCAGATATAGTTAATAAATTAGATGATGTCCCTCAGAGAGATCTGCTGAATATGGAATGTAGACTATTTAACAAAAAAAGCTTCCCCTGATACACAAAAATACCAGCTTCTAGAATCAGCTTCTGAGACTATTCACAAATATGGTGGAAGAACATACTCCACCTTGACCTTTCCTCAGTTGTGCTAATGTGGACAACTGGGCTCATACCTGGCACACAATTTACCCACCACCAGGTCCCCATGAAAATGTAGACACTGTTGAGTTAGATGCCCTACTCTGTCCAGCCAAGGTAGGTCAGTTTTCCCAAGTTCCTCCTTCACAGAAACATCTCTCAGACCTCATGAGTCTGGTGTTTGAAGGTAGATGTTCCCCTGTGTGGCAACCAAAGTCTTAATAGTGTCTTGTGTGACACCCAAAAAGTGACAGCCCTGCTCCCAACAGAGTCATAGAGACCACCATGGAGAATTCCAGATGGATGCTTAGGTGTCAGATAAGTCTCTGTCATTTTAACTGATACAGGGGTAGTTTTGATATACTTCCTACTCAAATTGGTCTCTCTGATTTCTGATGGTGGTGCTAACAAGTTGTTGTTTTATAAGTTTAGCAGAAGCAAGCAGACCTACCAGCTCCTCCCAACAAGGCTGCAGCTCCATGGTCAGTTTATATAATATGTGAAAATTATGTCCTGTTTATTTTTAAAATAATAGGTCATCTGCTGAAGAAGGCAGACTCATAGACAGTGTCATCTTGCTGACAGGCTTCATACTGAAAAAGATATCCTCACAAACTAGGTTTAAATGAAAACCAAACTGAAGCTATCATGCTATTATTCGGCAAAAATAATAAAACTTTTTACTATTCATTTATTAAAGGAACTTGCTTTTCAATCATTCTTCCTATTAATGAGCCATATATGTATTCTGGTAAATGATTGGATAGATAAAAATGGATTAAAGTTGATGTAAGTTTGAGGGTCATAGGAAGGGATATATTATGTACACACAAGGTGCAAAGGTCTGAGGAAGTGACTCAAGGTATGTGAAAATAAGACTTAAAGATTTCTAAGTTTCAGAGTTTTATGACAGTAGTATGTGGAGTTCTGACAAGCTAGTAATCTATCCTTGGTAAAGCACTGGCTACTATTATAGTCACAGGCCAAAAGTTTTAATTTTCTTTCATTGTTTACTAAACATAGACTTAAAAGTGCTGCTGGCTGATTGTGATGAAAATATCCATGTTGTGTGTGTGTGTGTGTGTGTGTGTGTGTGTGTGTGTGTGTGTGTGTGTGTGTGTGTGTAAAACTTGGCTAGAAGAAAAAGGATTCAAATTTGTAACTGAGAACCATCCTTTGGGTCCCCAAGTTTTTACTATGTCTATAAAGTGCAAGTCTACCCCAAGTGTACACAAACACTGGTTTTGTTCTTTTATACAATGAGGATTTGAGCACTGATTACAGACAGTGTTCATGACAATATATCTAAAACTTTTATCTCTGAGAGTAAACTTAAAAAAATTAATGTAAGCTTCAGGCAGGCGTGACTTGACTCCACCTATGACAGATTAAACAGACTCCCAAAAATAGCTCCTGTCAATAAACAGTTCCAGCTTTCCTCCCTACTGCCTATCCCTGAGGATGGACTCTCTCCTTCTCCTGGTCTTGGGACTCCCTCCACCTCCTGCTGTAGCGGGATACTGAACTACAGTCTTTCCATCCCGTGAAAGCATTCCTAAGGGAACTTTAATTGCCAAATGAATTAGGCATGTATGTTGGCATTTTTCTTTTCACATACTCCATAATACCACAACTACCAGGACTACAGGCCTGGAAGACTGTTTCCTGCTCACAGAACAGTGCATGGATTGCACCTTAAAGAAGAGACTTCTCAGTGAGGATCATCTTAATCTAGAATTGATGTTCAAATGAACAAAGGTACCAACAAAAGCAACAATAGAAAAAATGTAGAAAATATGGAAAAGCAAGACCAAATAAATCCTCCACAATATCATAACAAACCAACAAAAAATCTCAAAGATACTGAGAGAGACCAAGTGCCAGATGAGTAGTTCAAAAGGCAAAAAGATGATGTCCCAAAAGAACATAGAAACAAGCAAGTAAAACCAACTTAGCATTGAGACAAGATGCAACACTGTACAGGAAAGCAAAGGTTAAGGGACAAGAACAACAGCAATTATATATATATCAAAGACTCAGTATCAAGAAAGTCAAATCCTAAATGGAAACTGAGATTCTTCCAGCGGGGAGAACAGATAGCAACGTTGGAAATGAAAAACACAAAACCTCCAATAAAACACAGGGGAAAGTGATGCCAGGAGAACTGACTAAGCAGAAGACAGACTATCAGGCATGAAGGATGTGATTTCAGAACGCTGCATTAAAATATCAATAAGGAATTGATAAGTAATAAACATGACCACAGTGTCCAAACCCTGAGATATTTTAAAGAGACCAATGCAAGAACCTGTGGAATAGGAAATGCTAAGATGTGTATTAAAGACATGGGGATTTAGCAGAAACTCTCCAGGTCTGTAGAAAGAAACAGACATTCCAACAAGAGTCATTTAGATTCTCAAATATATGTGAACAGGGTGGAGCCTCTCCTTGTCATGTTAGAGTCAATGTGTGAAAACAATATAAGCCTGTCTGTGGACTCACAGAATGGACAGACACAAAAGTTGTTTTCCCTCTTTGATCTCTACCTGACTAAAAAATAAACAAGAGGAAAGCAAAGGTCTATAAGATGTATAATGAAGAAGGAAAGTTTGCAAATGAGTTTCACATTTCTGTGTATACAGTTCATTATACTCAAAGGAATTACATGTGCACAGAGGAGCACTCACTGTCATGTAGCCAGAACCCTTAGCACAGACACACAAATACTTACGGAATGTTATCAAATATATCCGGTTTGATCTCAAAAAATATATGGCTTTTGTATAATCCTTCTGTTGTGATGTAAATGGGAACAAATGCGCCTAGGATTATGTCAGCCTTCATGGAGGTGCTCGGCTTCCAATAATCAAAGCATCTCTGATGATTCATTTCACCTAATATAAACAAAGACTGCAGGAGTAGGAAGAGACAATGCAGAGGAAGGGACATGTCAGGGTCTGCACCACACAGAGACAATGTCCTGCAACTAGACTGAGCTGTGGAGGAGATTATTGACTTAGGTCATGGAACAGGCTCAGACTTCAACAGTATCAGAGAACACTGTATGCTACAGCTGGCTGCTGATGTTGCATCAGGCTCTCAGGCTGCACATAGTCTATGGTTCTCATGCCAGACAAGGGCACAGACAGAAGCAAAGTCCAGACAACTGAGGGGAAGTCAGAGTGCTGAGCTTCTCCTCTAACTGTAACTAGAGTGGCCCTGAATGGGCTGGCTTTTCTTGATTCTGTTCCCCTCTCACACATGTGCTCTGGGGATCTCCTAGTCCTGGGGCTCTGCACCTGCATCCTCTATGCTGGTGGAAAATATGTTTGTTTCTTTCCTTCTTTACCCACCTCTATGATTTCATAATGGTCCACAGTGGCTTTGAAGAGCACCATAGCCAGAGACTGAATTGTGGGTCATCAATCCAGATTGTTTGATTTAGATTGCTGTTTTGGAAGACACAGATAAAAATTATAAACACTGAGAAAAAGCCATAGCTGGCTGCCACAAAGCATGCACTTGTAATATTCCATACAATAATTTCACAAGAGGGTGAAGTGGTAATGACTATTTCTAGTGTCTGCCATTCAGAAGCACAATGAACTTGTATCTATCTTGACTCCCTGGTCTGTTCTCTCCTCCTTGTAGAAATAATTATGAAGATGGAGAAAGGAGTAAGGACATTCCAGACAAGTACAGATAATTTCCTACCTCAAGCATTCAAAATATTAAGCAGTTCCCAAGCAGTAATCTGTGTTCTGCTATTAGTGGACTCTAGTACCACCTTTCCCATCTACATTTTGTAAAAATTCACAATGAAATAGAATCATACTTGATTTACACACTTCTTCCTCTCTCCTGTAATACTATTCATCAGAAATACCATTGATATACTGTTATATATTATGGATAATTATTATATAGTAGAAGACAAATCAAATTTTGTATATGCATATATGTTAGATAGGTAGCAAAAATTTATTAAAAAAGAGGCCATGGATTTTCAAAGGAGCAATGAGGACTACACTGGGGAATTTGGAGTACATAAATGGAAGGACAAATCAAGTAATTATATTCAATAAATAAATAAATGGATGGATGTCTCTTATGTATAACCTTACAAAATTTTGATTATTGGAGTCCTTAAAATATACACAAAGTACTTTCAATTCAACAATGTATAGTATTATTATTATTATTATTATTATTATTATTATCTCTTCTTCACACACCTTGAAGTATTTCTTTAAATTACCCCCTCTTTCATCACTGAAATGTGTTCTTTGACAAGCAATTCCTCAATACCCTGATATTCAGCCTCTCACAGTCACCATTCACACTTATGTCAGGGGATCGACTTTAGGATCCAGTTTTGAATGAGGTCAGACAGCATTTGATTTTTTGTGCCTAGCTCATGTCACTGAACATGATCTCTGCATTCATCTATATGTTCAAAATAATAGCATTGCCTTTGTTGAAAGGTTGAATACTATTTATATGTTTGTAGGAATACATATGTATATACATACACATATATGCATGGTGCATGTAACAAGAGTTACTGATGATAAAATTCCAGATAATCAAAGAGCCTATGAATGGCTGTATGAGAAAATTTGGAGGGAGGAAATGGATGTGAGAGCAGGCATGATTATATTACAATCTCAAAACCAAAGAAAAATGTTTTCTCTGCATAAAGAAATCAAATAATACAATATCTTGCATTTATGAGTTTAAGGACAATCAAGTCATTTCTAATTGTGTGCACTCTAAATTATGCTTCAGTAAACATGAATGGAGATGTGTCCTTGACCAGCACATGCCATGTGTTGTTTTAATATGTATGATGGTGGAATCACTCACTTAGTGTATACAGTGAATACTCTATTTTTAACTGACAGAGGAATTTTTGTGTTATTTTCTTGATAACTGTGTAATATTAAATTCTCTCTGTCTTGGATAGGGTTTCTATTACTCTTATGAAGGAAAACATTTAATTTTTGTGGCTCTCTTACAATTCAGAGGTTTACTTCTTTATCATCAGGGTGAGAAGCAAGGCAACAGGCAGGCAGACACAGTGCTAGAGCAGGAGCTGAGAGTCACTACATCTTGATTTGGAAACAATATGAAGCAGTCTGAATCACTGAGTGGGTATATATGAGAACTCAAAGCCTGCCTCCACAGTGACACACTTCCTCCAATAAGGCCACACCCATACCAACAAAACCATACCTTCTAATAGTGCCCCTCTATGGAGAGCCATCCCTCACTGCCTCATTTCCCCCAGAGTACTCTTGAGTAGGAGCAGCAAGAAATATTAGTTAGAAGGGTAGAGGGGAGAGAAACAGAGAGAAATGCAGGATAGCCTCATAGGGCCTGCATCCCAGTCCATCGGGCCTTGATTATTTCTGCCCTAGGGTATTTAAAGGAATGCCAAGGGGTTGAGCAAAAGGCCTCCCACCAGCACAGCCAAGTGCACACCATCTCAGATACCTGCACTCAAGCCTATGGTCTAATTACCCTCTCTATGCAGACCTACTGGGTAAAGCCACTAGGAAACCTAAAAATGGGCTCCAACAGGTCCCCCCTTTCTTAATATATAAAAAAAAAAACATTAAGAGCTCACAGGAATCTCCATAGCTGTCATACCTCCAAGTATGGGAGTAGTGGATGAAAATTTTAGGCCTATGGGGTAGTCCGTGAGGCTGTATTGTTTGAACCAGTTGCCTTGAAACTGCTCTAGATGTTGGATCATCTGGGCCATGGTGTCATTGGAGACCTTTCAGGG